CTCCATCACATCCGCCAGCGAAGCTTCAGGTTTCCATCCCCACGGTTGTGCACACATCTTCGCAGAAAAAAGCGTCACTACACTACTGACAGTGAGAAGCTTGTCCAGGATGTCTTCAAGGAGGACGTTGTTGTTAGGCATCCGGCACAACCAATAATCGAAGGGCGCATGCTCCTTCGAGACAGTGTCGAAGCTCAGCCCGTGCGTGGCCTGGTTCAGTTTTCGGGGTTTTCAGTTTTCGGGCTTTGAGGGTTTTGAGGGTTTGACTCGAATTGCTGATGAAGACAGCGGAAGTTCTGTCTAGGCAGCCGTGCCACGTGGAAGGCAGCAACCTGTTCGATGTCGAACCACATCTCAAGAACCTTGTACTCTTTCTCGAAGTTCTTCTCAAAAGTCGCAGCCATCTGCACAGCCTGTCGTAGTCCGTTGAAACACACCAAGCCTGCCACATCCAGCAGCTTCAACCTCTTGGCATTCTTGACAGTGTTCCGCACAACCACGAAATCGTATAGATCCAGGCAGACCTTAATTGATTAATTCCTCATCTACATGAATGCATGATCTTGAAATTGACCTGGATTCGGAACAACTGAGCTCAGTTCAGATTCCACTTTATTGGGCGATGTCTGGTGAGCCTTTTGACAATGACGTAGAGTGGGTACAGCAGCGTTGACGCCTGCTTGGAGGTTCATGGGTAGTTATAAGTGAGGTGATAAGTAGGGTAACTGTAATTATAACCCATCGGGGACTTATAACTCCACTTATAACTGCCCATGAACCTCCAAGTCGTCCGACGCAGTGCCTGGTGTGCTAGACATCCGCCACTTCAACGTCGACGCTGCGCCGAGCTGCATCTTGATGGTGTCCACGCGCCACTTGGATCCTGCGGGCTATCACTGGCACACGAAACGGAAGCAAGGTGAGGGTTGTCGGCAAATCCGGTCCTTGGAGCCCAGTGACAGTGGACTTGGCGTCGTGAACGCCCATGTGGATCATCTTCGACGACCTCAACTCGCCGTTCTGCAAGTAGAAGTCGCTGCCGATGACGGACATGTCGAGGGCCAGCCGAAGGACCATGAAGCTTTCCTCCAAGCCACCTTGCCCCGAGCCTGAGCCCCGCACCGTGCGTTTGGAGGCCCCCGAAAAGTTGAATTTCAACTCCCTGCCCTGCTCCAGCATCTGGTCCTGAATGTGACAGTGACACTGACCTCACTGAACTGTCTATGTGCAGACCGCAGACCCCAATCTATTTTCTCGGCCCAGCTCCCAAACCGCCGAGATGGGCGAGGCACACCACTTGACAAAGCCCAGCCCGAGGTGTTCGGGGGGCTGGAAAGTGACATTGTCCATCAAGCGAAGCCACTTCGACATAGGGAAAGCAAAGAAAAAAGCAGCAGCCGATGAATCACTCATGGCGGGCCAGCGATCCTCAGGGAATCTTCGGAGAGCAGCTGCTCGAGCCCAAATGCTTGCTGACAGAGTTGCTTGAGAGTGACAAGTGACAGCGAGGACACTCTGTGGAGAGCTAGGCTTCGCATTGGCATGCCCGCAGCACGTGCAACACATAATCCATTTGTTGCTGCACAGACAGCACTTCGAAAGATCTGCACCGACTTGGTACTGGCACACGGCTTTTTGCCGTTCACACTGTGTCAATGACAGTGACACGTGTTCAGACAAACAGGTATCTCCGACAAGTCTGGCAGTCCAGAGCCCAGTGACAATGCAAGGCCCGGCAGTTCTGCCAGAGCTGCCAGAGGGTTACCGAAAAGTTTCCGAAAAAATGGGAGGACCATCGTGTCTGCCTGCAACCCACAATCCTCTGAGGCTTCAAAGAACATATAGTTATATATTAATATAATGATGTATATATAAATATATGTATGTATGTATATACATATAACCTATATAACTACCTATATATATATATATAGATATCTAGATATATACATATATATGTATATCCGGTGTCTGTGTGTGTGTTTGCGGAAATATGTACGTACATCATAAGGAGCTCTGTATGTTCATCTCCCTACCGTCACATGCCACGTTGTGGGTTGCTCTTGCAGCCTGCCACTCACACGATCCGGACCGCTTGGTTGGCCGGGATTTTGATGTCCTTGTCATTGACAAGCCTGGTGGTGACACATCGTGCTTATAGTCTTCTGACTCCTATTTTGGTAGGCTACATGCTGCGGCGAAGAAGGGCAAAATATTTGCTAAGCCGACAGAAGCACCAAGCGTTGGCACTCGTATCAGTTGGCCTGCAGCAGACACACATACCATGTTTGCAGCATGGGCACGTCCCGCGCCGTCCAATCACACACGTGGACTGAATAGTTTACAAGTTCACGGGAGAACTCCCATGCTCGCCTCCAAGGCGTGAGGTGCCGGCCCATCTGGTTTTTGTCCTCCAGTGCTGCACCACTCAAAGTGAAGACAAAGACGACGCGCCTGAAACAAGCTGTGTCTTTGGACTCTGCATATATAACAATAGTGGACACACATCTGTGTCTCTTCCACATGGCTTCTTGCAGCTAAGTGACAGAAGCCCAGTCTCAGTGCTGCTCTTTCCGGGCTTGACAAACAACTGGCCGTACATGTCTGGCAGCTCGGAATCCTCATTTGCCATGCTCTTCTCGAACTCCTGGATACTCGAGAATTTTGGCAGGGGTGCCTGCCAAGGAGACTGGCGGTGAAAGAAACATGTAAAAACAATGACAAAGCTGGCCTGTGAGTACGCATGCAAGGGCTGGGCAGCAGTGAAGACCACAGATCCGTTGGATCGGACAGTGGCGTTGAAACCATATAGCATTCTGGCTGCCTTGGTGCACTGTGACAATGTGACAATGACGAAAAAACTATGACAGAAAAACAAGCCCAGTGACCACCGCCGGCTGTGTCACGTCCAGCTCCTCTTTCGCTGCGGCCCCGAGGATATCGAGCACAATCGGGCAGAAATCCTCCTCTGGCTTTCCCTCGGCCGGGACAGTGACAGGAACCGCGACGAGGGCAGCAGTCGTGGGGGATGTCAACACGTACCTGTACTGAACTTCGACCCCTAGCAAAAATTATAATTTTAGTTGCTCCTTAGGGCCTTAGGGTTTATAGTAACCAAAGATTTAAAATTATTTCTAAGTAACCCCAAGATACGGGGTGTTGAAGTGACTCCCCTGTGGAGTGTCCGACTGCAGCCCCAGCTTACCCAGCGGGAAGAACGGCTGTTTTGCGCGGACCGTTCCCGTCTTCCCCGGCTGCATGTGCAGCCACGCCTGAAACTCGTCGTCCTGGCGGGTTTAAGAGTTTATGGTTTCCGTTTCATGGGTTGCAAAGTCCATTTAGTCTACTACTATAAATAGAACGCAGAGAACATTGAATATTCTAGACAGAAAGATCTCTTCTTAGGCTTGTAACAGAAATGAAAATAGTTACGATGTCCCGATATCACGTCTGTCCTCCAAAATGACAGTGACAATGACGCCCTCGGAGATCTCCAGCTTTGTGCTCTGCTTCCCGGCGAGGCTGTCCACGTCCATCAGGGCCTTGATGACCTTTGCGGACTTCCTCTGCTTCGCCTCTTTCGGCGCCGCCGCCATCACTGGCCCCAAGGTGTTGGCCACTTCGGACATCTCCTTCAGGGCCTCGAGGATTCCCGGTGTCTTCAACCCCTTCCATGCGCCACCTGAAGGCACGATGAGCTGGCCGTCGGTCTTTCGCACACGCAGCGCCTGTCCGGTTCAGGCCGTCAAGAATTGGACTTATTTCATGTCATGCAATCACAGACTCCAGACAAGGCCGGAGATGTTCTGCCACGAACCCTAGCATCCTTACCGCCTTTGCTTGGAGCTCTGACTTTAATTTGTGGGTGGGATGGAGAAACTACACCGGCACAGCTCCCGGCAATCACTCAAAACTGCACTACAGTTAAGCGGGTGCCTTGAGGTGACCGTTGATCTCATTCACCATGGATGACAATGACTTCGGCGCCTCAACCTCCGGCGGGTCTTCTGGTGGCACTCGCCAACTGCCCGGTTGCCTGTGAAGCATGCAACATACACAGTTGGAGATTTGGAATCCACCGTCACTAAGTCATAACCACAGACACCTCGTCTGGTTTGTGTCTCAGTCTCAGTCTATAAAATGACCCAGCCACGGACACTATTATATCCACGAAACAAAAAAAACAACCAGCCGAGGATCGACTGCAGAGCGGCTTCTTGCTCGGAGACACAGCGCACCCTGCCCAACGCAGTGGCCCACTCCCGGAAGTCCACCGTCACGACGTGTGTCCTCGGTTCTTGGTTAAAGAATATACTTTCAGTTACGATAGTACGGAAACCATTATCATGTCTTAAATTCCTTAACAAGAGCCAGCATCCGGACATTGACGTTGGGGAGCACCTGCTGCAGTGCCAACGCGAAGTCGCTGCTGCCCGAGACCAGGTCGACAATGACCTTAGTTGCTGAGTTCATTCCCCCCGAAAAGTGTAAACTTTCATGTCTATAGACGCTTCTAACGGGTGAATGCATTATCCCAAAAAATGTAAAGTGTACTGACTTGGCTACTAAGCCACCAGTGGCGATGACAGTGACTCACCCTCCCTGCCGCCGATCAAGTCTTCCACGATTTGTCTGGCACCGTCGGCTCCACGCCTTACTTGCTGAGATCAGAAGCACAAAAAAGGGCACACTTTCAGACTTAAGTTTTAAGTCTACTCATCCTGCTACCAAGGCACTGGAGCCGCTGCGCCTCGCTCGCGGCGTTCCGACCCACGAGGGCAGGCGGTGACAATGACGCACGTGCTGCTGTTGCAGCCTTCCTCAATTGCTGAGTTCATAAGCCCACAAAGGTGTACACTTTCAGTTTTATCGTGGATATTATTCTATTATCACTAAGTCCCAAAGCGTAAAGTGTATCCATTCAGCTACCAAGTTTCTTGCTGAACGGCAACACTGACAATGGCCGGTCCACTGACAATGCGCCCTGCATCAGCAGGCTCCCGGCCAAGAAGGTCGCCGGCCGCAGCACGCCCTGCACGATTGTACCCTCGGTCGTGAGTCTGCCCTGCACGGCGACATTGTGGACAAGGACGAAGTCGGAGAAGAAGAGGGAGGCTGCCTGCTGCTCGGACGTGTAGTTCTCCGAGACTGAGTCGCGAAGAACCTGACGGTCCTCCACGAGCCTGGCTAAAATCTGGCAACTCACCGGACCGACTGAAAACAAAAAGCCTCCCTAAGATGTCAGATTGACCGTGCCCAGGCACTGCCGTGTCTTCTGCGCGGCGTTCCAGCGGATGACGGCATGGCTGTTCATGTCCGGCAAATTGTCGGGCATTTCCGCCTGCTCCTCCGGCTCCTCGCAGCTGGAAGAAGCAGCGCCCGGGTCCTGCGTGGAAGAAGCATCGCCCGTGTTCGGGTCCGTGGCTGCCGCCCCCCGCCGAATCGCCTGTTTGTGCCGCTTTGCTGGGATATTGGACCACAGCACCACAGCAGCTGCGGGATCCAAATTTGCCAAAGTGGCTGCCAGCACCTTTGACACTGACTGCTTCACACAGCCACAACTCTGCAGGTCCAGCAGCACGAGCACCTGTGGTGGCTCGTCACAGGGCTCATCCGCATCATCTGCATCCCGCTTCAATTTCTCGCACGCCTGCTGGACGTGCCTCCGCACGTCCAGCGTGTACTTCTCCAACGGCACGTGCAGGAAGGTGGTGCCTGTTTCGGCACGACGGGTCGCCTCCTTCCAAAACAGCTCTTTCCTGTCCTGACCAACATTGAACTTATATGCAACACTTCAGAACAGCTTTGGAAAGAATGACCATGCTATGACAGCGACAGTGACACTGTATATCCGCCCCAGTCCTTTTCCCACTTGACCCGGGCACGCTGCCACTCCTCGAGCGCGTTGCAACTCTGAGTGCGCCAGGCCTGTCAAAAAAGGCACGGCAGCAAGCTACTGCTTCTCCACAAGGATAATTCCTAAGGTCCAAACGCTTTAAGTGCCATCTGTTTGCCTCGTAGACACTCCGATCATGTTGAAGAGAACTGAGGAGTGCCTGCTCTTGCACTTCCTGTGCCCGAACACGAGCTTCCTGCTGCAGAAAAGGAGTACAAGTCGAATTCAAGAACAAGCCCAAGTAACTGTCTGGCATGTGCAACCCAAACATAGTCCTCCAAAGCCTGCTCAGCTTCGGCAGTCTTGGCATTGACAATGGGCTCTGGCTCTTTCTCTTCGCGGGCGAAGACTTCCTCGGCGACATGTGTGGCCATGAGCTCGCCGAAGCAGGTGTCGAACTTGAAGGCCTTCCAGCAAACCAGCCTACCTAGCAGTAGAAACCCAATCCAGACTGTGTATCACCCACCCTCGCTGCCTCGGGTGGTTTCATCGTCGCAACACGGTCCAAACCCTTGTTCAGCCTTCCCTTCTGGCGAAGATCCTCCAGCTCCGGCGCTCGTTCTGGCGACAATGTGGTGACAGCGACATGGAAGAGGTTCTCCCGCAGCACCAGGCTCTCCATCTCCGCAACCGTATAGGTCCTGAAGTCACAGCAGGCTTGAGATATTCCTTCGCGAACCAAGTCCCTGCAGTGTGCCCGCCTCCGGTGACCGTCGCGAGAATCACTGTCAGGACGGCCATTCTTGACATGACCGAGTATGTCCAGGGCTGCTTTCGTGGAGCCTTCGAACATCCTCGCCCATTCGCCGTGGGATGTGCTGTGCCTGTGGACTGTTTGGACTGTGCATTCATGTGACACACATACCTCCTCCCTCCTCGGTGGACAGTGGACAGTACCCAGAACCGAGGCTTTGACTGAGTGACGCCAACATAGAACCCAGCATTCTCCAGCAAGGCATCCGACCAGAACGTGCTGCGGCTTGCCACGAGGAGGGCATCGAACACCTTCCCATGATTTCAAGATAAAACAAAACTATCTTTCCCAGTCTCCTACAACAGGAAACCTTCAGGCCTCTTGAGGACAGAACGTCGGCGACACAAGTCGCCGAAGAGCCGTGTCGGCTTTGCCACGAATCGGGCGCACGCCCGGATTGGCATTGTGCCTTTTGATGATGTCCCTGATGACTTGAAGGGCATCCTGGGCTTCGAAGTAACGAAAAGGAATAAGTGTCTGTAAATATCAATATATCTATATACAGAAATATCATATATATATATATATACATATACACAACTGTGTAGTGTCTAGTAGGTATTTTTT